GGTCAACTCGGCCCACTTTTAAAAAAGGGTAAAGGACATCAAAGGACTCCTATTGTCACGGGCTATTATTATCAATCAATGTGTATGTTAAAGATACCGAGTAATTAGGTGATAATTATGATTGACTTATTCATTCAAATTTGATTAGTGACCACGTGCAATTAATTAGAAGCTTATGCTTTTAAGTAAACACGTTTTTGTTTCATTTTTTTTTTTTTTGAAAATTACTTTACAAACAAAATGCATCTAAGGAAACACATTTTTATTATATCTATATTCACAGGCACAAGTATCGTACCTGGGAAGAAAAAATATGAAGTTATTTTATCAATCTGTTCATGTTTTTTCTTCCCAGGTTCGATAATCGTGCCTGTGTCTATATTAATTTTATCGAATCTGCAAGACAAGTAAATAACTTTTTTTCTAAATATACTTTATTTCAGCAGAAGTACAATGTATAATTATATAATGATAATAAGATATTTCTTATTATTCATTTACCTTAACAACATGCAAAGCAAAGTAAATACGTTATAGGCCTATATATTTTTGTAAAGTGGGCCGAGTTGACCCGTGCCGAGTTGACCCGTGCCGAGTTGGTATAGGGCCGAGTTGACTCTTTTCCCTAGGGACTGGTTCCCGGATTCCCTTGTATCTTAAAGCTGTTTCTTAAATGTATACAATGTATACCTGCTTAGAGTGATCGAAAACGATTTTAAAGCAGTATAATGTAGAAAAAAAAATAAAATATTTTCCCTTCTTTCTCTACGTAAAATTTCCCCCCTGCCTCTGAAAAAATAGGAGTGAATTCTCCCCCCCCCCCCTCCTAGAATAAACACTGATATACGCTCATTATACTATATATAAAGAATATTCTTTATATATAGTATTATGAGCGTATATGGGTAAAATAATTGTGTCTAGTGCCTGTGAGTGGGGAGGTCACGAGGGGTCCCTGTGTGTCCAGTAACACTTTCCGCGTATTTGTTCCGTTCGCTTTTCGGTATAATTTCTAACAAAATTGACAATAATAGAATTAAACATACAGGGTATCTTAAGCTTATTTACGGGTCTATACTTACACGAAAAGAGAGTTGGTTTGTTTCTCGTGTTGAAAGATGATGTCTTCCAATTTTTGAAGGGAGTTTGAACCAGAAAAATGGTATTTTTTCTGGACTATTTCCCGCGCCTCTGTTTTGGAAGCCTCCATCTTGTTTTTCTGTGATGTCATAAGCATGTGACTTCGAAACTCCGCCTCCTCCAGGAAAGGGATGTCAGAAAGTGATTACCTTAAAATTAACAGGCAACCGTGCGTTTGTTAAATAACCCTGTGGCTACTACATTTGAAACAATTTAGTTTGAAATCGAGACGGCTATCCAGAAATACAGATGCAATAATGAATCTGGTCAAGTTGTCATGCTTACATCATGTAGAAATGCCTATACTTGGTCGTGAGTATAAAAACTTGTTATTGTTACTCGTCAAAATTATCCCGGACTTTCTACACGATATTCGAATTTTTCTTTGGTCACTGTAAAATTTTATAACAAAGAGTAAATTATCAATTTTGTACAAAAATATAGAGTATGTTTAAACTAACGCCAATTTATTTAAACAAAGCCCCAGTATTAACTCGGGAATAGCAGGGATTTTGATATTTTTTACCAAATTGCTCTATCATTCACTCACTCACATACATGTAAGCCTAGTCCTTGCATTAATGTCAAATTCCTGGTAGGGACGTAGATATGTCTGCACGTCAAAGTAGCAAAAAGTTAAAGAGTTGTTTTAAAGAGGATAAAAGAAGAATATTAAAATTGTTAAAAAGAGGAGGCTTGAAAATTTGCATGAGACATCTTCAATACACTGCACTGAACTGCTCTGGGGCAGAGAACAGGGCTACTGCAGGGGATAGGGGTGTCAGATATTCTTCTAGGGGGATAACAACCAGACCATGGTGAATCTTGTAGGAAATGGATAACTAGCTTCTATACGTCTTGAGTTCCAGTTTTCAAAGCTTAAAGAAATTAGCCCAGTTATATTGCTCTTTAATATTCACTACAGATACATTTGTATTTTGTTATAGCATACATGTAGTCTAAACTTTAATCATTACAAAGTTTAAAATGAATTTATGTGTAAACATATTTCAGTTGGTACATTCAAGCTTAAAGGGAAAGATCTTATGTATAAAACTTTGGAAACAGCCCTTGCAGCAGGATATAGATCTATAGGTAATGATTCAGTTTGACATTTCTGTATATGGCTTTTGGTAAACCTTACCAGCTATACTTTTCAGTATTATCACTTTAAGTATAATGGTAGGTACAATGCACCATATTTGTTACCCATAATTATGAATACTTCTTAGAGTTTAAAAAGTATTTCAAATGATTTAAACCTGTTATAGCTTACTTGTGGCAACAAAATTTATCCTTCAACCAAGATCAGCTGTTTGATTTGATTTGATTTGATTGATTGATGGATGGATTGATTGATTGATTGACTTATTTAATTAGTTATATAGGTGGGTATATTGTACTAGGTTGCTTGTGTGTTTGTCTCCTATTTTGTTAGTTATTTTGATTAAATTATTTATTTTGTGATTTATTTCAGATACTGCTGCAGTGTACAGAAATGAGAGTGACATTGGAGACTGCTTGAAAGAACTTCTTCCAAAGTTCAATCTGGAAAGGAAGGACATTTTTATAACTAGTAAATTAGGTAATTAATCAGGTTTCAACAGCTCTATTACCATCTGTTTAGCTCAATAGGTAATAGCATTGGTCTGTGAATTGGGTAATCCAAATTTGATTCCCAGACTGTGCAGGTCCCTTTCATTATGTTTGATTATAAAATTCTTCCTACTGTCATTCGCACTGTACCTGTGCTCTGGCATGCACAGAAGTTAAATGATCAGTTCCTTAAGAAAATGGAGGCAACTAGTACATGTACTTGTAAACTGCTTGACAGCATGCACAGGAATAATGCGGTGACTGAACTTTGCTCTGGTATTAAATTCTATGTGGCTTACTGTCATGATTTGTAGTGACACCTACCAATACCACTACCACCTAGTAAAGTAATGGCAAAAAGGTAAATCAGCACAACATCTATTTTATTTATAATTTCACTTCCCAACCAAAGAAGTCAATACAGTTTTCAGTATGCCATGTGTCTTTTAAGTATGCCATGATAATTTTCCACAAGATTATTGCGAGAATAAACCAGTTCAAATTTTGATGAAGTAAAACTGAAAGCCATGCCAGTTTGCTTCGTAATATTTTCTATTACTTCTATTGTAGTGTTGTTTAAATATAAAATTGTAAGGATATATCTATTTACAGAAGTAAACTTTTGATTATCTGTGTAATTAAGTTTAAATGGTTAAAAAAAGGAAGTGGTTTTCTACAGTCTGCCTCTCAACCCAGGGGTTTATACTGATTAAAGTCCCACAGTGACTGAAGTCACAACCATGTTTCCTGATATTACACCAGAGTTCTGGTTAGTTGAAGGAAGCAGTCTGATACTAAATTGAGTTGATGATAACTGTTAGTTGAAACTTAAAAACTGACTTGCTATATAGATAGTTCCCAATTTTTACAATATTTACCTCCCTTCCCAAAGTGGCTGCCATTTTTGGTGATCATTATTCTATATAGTATAAAATGTATAATTGACGAAATATGAAAAATCAATATAAACAGCTTAATTAGATGAATTGTCAAATTCTTTTATAGAAATGAAAGAAAATATTAAAGCACCAAAATGTAAAAGATAATTTATCATTTTTCATGAAGATGATAGAATTATGAAAGATTTTTATCTTATATAGGGAATGTAATATATTGGGAATGACTCTCAAAATGGTGACCAGGGGAGGTAAAAATTGCTAGGTTATAAAGCATCTATTATTGAACTCTTACAGGACCTAAAGATCAAGGTAAAGGTAAATGTAAGGAAGCTTGCTTGAGGTCAATAGAAAATTTACAGACTGGTTACCTTGATTTATACTTGATACACTGGCCTGGAACTCAAGGCAAGAAACCTGAGGACCAGTCAAATATTCAGCAGAGACAGGAAAGCTGGAATGATCTTGAAGATCTTCATAAAGAAGGTAAATTCTTGTATTTTTTTCATAGACATGAAAACCCTATTTTAATTTTCAGATTTTACACTGGAGTCGGTCACATATACATGATATACATGTATAATTATGCAATGAAAAGTTTAAGCCAATCTTATTTAGTTTGACAACAAAAGTTCTTCAGATTTTTAGTTGCGGCAGGGTCTTACAAAATGAATAGTCTGGAAACAGCCCATGTAAACCCTTCTGGCTACAATTAAACATGTCTCGCTATAACTCAGAATCGTTTGCTATATGTGTTGAAGAAAAGGGCGAAAATTAAATACAACAGCAAAAAAGAAAATTCTAACAACATGGTTTGAAAGACCCTTGTTTAAAACCCCATAGAAGCAGTTGTCTTCTGTTCATGCACAATGTATCTGTTATAACATGAGCTGCCTTTATTATATTATTGAACTAGATCCGGGAAGAGTTAAAAGCTTTTAAATCTTCCCAGATTAGATTGTGTAAACATGTGCAGCATTCATAGTGGATTCGCTAACTTATCTATTGAGTTATTCCCCATGTTATTTTCAAGTAGAAGCAAAAAAGAGAAAAAATTGAAAAGATTTAACTGATTATAATAAGTAAACATTCAATTACAGATGTTTGAACTTTTTGGTGTGGTTATGGGGAAACATCCAATACATACATGTAACACACAGATAAATAGAGGATATTGAATGAGTGAAGGTTCAGTACCAAACTTATTGAACAAGTTGAATAAAATCATATTGTGCAAGCCTGTGGCTAGCATAGTATTGTTTTATTCAACAAGTTCAATATATTTAGTATTAAATGTAAAAGAATATAATCTTCTATTTATCACATTTCAAAATATATTATTATTAATTCATGATGAAAACTGGGTAAAGGTAGACTTTTTCTTGGTAACAGCAAGTAAAATTGATACCAGCCAAATAGGTGGCAGCAATTTTGTGAAAGGTCATGTGCAAATTTCAGTTGTAAATTACATGTAGAATATTACAAAAAAAATTATTGTAGGTCTTGTTTGTGGGTTAATTTATACAAGTTTATTCCATTTGGCATTTTTCAGGTAAACTTCGAGCTATAGGAGTATCCAACTATGAGCAGAGACATCTAGAAGAGCTCCTGTCCACTTGTTCTATCCCTCCAGCTGTACTTCAGGTATGTCATATCATTACAGGTGTATCATATCATTACAGGTATATTATATCATTACAGGTAGGTTTATCATTACATGAATATCACATCATTATAGGTATATAATGTCATAGGTATATCACATCATTACAGTTATGTGATATCATTTTAGGTATATCATATCATTACAGGTATATCATTATAGTAATGTCATATCATACAAGAAAAGTTTCCTTCATTCTTGTAGGCTCATGTAGGTTAAGTTGAGGAAGACTTATTTCTATATAGTTGCGTGATGTCCGTGGCCGAGTGGTTAACATTTTTGACTTCTAACCACTTGTTCCTCACAGCTGTGGTTTAGTTCCCAAGAGGGACTTTGTATTATTTCATGTGAGCAAGTTATCCAGCTAGCTTAGGGAACATCGGTGGTTCTACTTGGGTGCCTGTTTGTGCCTGAAATAATGTACAGAAGGGCACCTGATGTCTTTCTCCTACAATCAGTAAACTAAAGTTGCCATATGTAAAACCCAACCAAAAGAAATCTATATATGACATTGCATTTTGATGTAATTAATATGTTAAAATTGGCATTAAAACCAACCAAAAATGTCAAACAAAAAAGATAAACGATCTGGCTTAACCCTTTACTCCATAGATACGTGTTTTAACGCATATGCGACCAGTGCAGATCCAGATTAGCCTGCACATCCTGATCAGGATCTCCACTGTTTCTATTTTATATCCATAAAAGAATTTCTGACTGAAAAGAGAACAGTGGAGATCCTGATCAGACTGCATGGATGTGCAGGCTGATCTGGCTCTGCACTGGTCGCATATGCGTTAAAACATGTATTCATGGGGTAAAGGGTTAAGTAGTAACTCCATTTAGACTTACAATAGACGAGGCAAGATAAGTGAACCTGTGACAAGCTTAATAACATTTCTAGGACAGGCTTTATACATTTTATACATTAAATGAACATGAATGTTTATCAAGGGTAAGTTCTAAAGTAAAGCTCTATCCCAACACAATTCTAACACTCTGCTGTGAGGGACACATGCTTTGAAGCCAATGGCCTTTACCACTTTGCCACTGACGCCCCTAAAAGCCAAATCAATGTACATTAAATCAACAGATGCTCATTTACAACACAAAGTTTAAGCCTTTTTCATCTCAGGATTTCAGAAAATCTTAATAACCATTAAAAATGATTACATGATCATATTTTTGATGCCTAACTTGTAAGATATTGACACCTGTCAATTATAGACTTGGATGTTGCAATTATGACATTTTATAATAAATATGGGATATATAAAGAAAACAGTGACGGTTCAAATATTTACATTGAAACCAAACCAAAGTTACCTAAGGTCTTTCTCCACCAGTAAAGCTGGGACATCGCTATATGACCTATACTGTGTCGGTGTGACGTAAAACCCAATCAAACAAACAACAAACAAACATCATTTGATAAATAGTAGAAAGATAGATGAATGGAATGTCTTCTATATATTACAGATAGAGTTTCATCCTCATCTTGTACAGAGTTCACTAGTATCATTCTGTAAACAACATAACATACATTTCCAGGCATATTCTTCACTAGGGACAACTTCAGATGATAATAAAGTAAGTCCTTTTTGTATAATTATGTGACCAAAAAAAAACCATCTGTAATTTCCACGTGCTCAACAATCACAAGTTCACAACTTCTGATTTGTACCAAATGTGACAGTCTAACATTTTTCTTTGTATTGGTATATCATGATGCAGGATCCATAAATATATCATTATTAGACAAGCGTGTATGGCTTTTTAATGTGCCATCACGGAACAACATAAGTATTTTATTTCTTTGTTTGATTTTCAGTGGGGGGGGGGGGGGGGGGTCCCAGTTTTAAAACATATTTTGGGGGTTGATCTACCTTATTGGTTTTCTGGATAATAAACCAGTAATTGCCTACATTTCCACAAGTAACAAGTGGTGTCAGAGAGGCAAATGATCATTAGGCTCAATATCACTGAAAATATATGTGTGGCCTGAAAGTCAAACCAACAACACCTGGCTTACTAATGCAGTCCTCTCCCTATTGGGCTAAGTGGGCTGACTGCAAAAGTATTTTTACCAAGGGTCAAATGTTATCAGTTATCATCAATACTTTATAACTTAACTGTTTTTACTTGTATACCAATCAAAACATAAGTGCTCTGATTTCAAACTTTTAGGGAAAATCTATCTTACAAACCTATGACCAGTAGAAGCGTAAAATATAATTTCAAGCATCGAAATCTGTTTGTTTTACAAAGAAATTAAAGTTTATACAGTCAAGTTATTAATTTATTTATCACACTCTGACGTAAAAGAATTGTAATCTTATAGCTAAAGAACTTTTTTAGTTTCTACTAATGTATCTGAATGAATATTTAGCTACACATCTTTCTTTTTCTCAAAATGTTCAGAAGTGGCATGCATACATGTAGGTAAGTGGCCTGATTTTTAAGGTTGGCTTATTGACCAATTTTATCTGTGTTTATAAATAAAGATTCATTACTGCTTTCAGTTGTTAACTGATCTAACAGTTGCTGATATAGCAGCTAGATACGATAAAAATCCTGCACAGATTCTACTAAGATGGGCTATACAACAAGATATAGGTATATACTAGTATACCAATTTGTAATGCATGTATTTTCCATAGTATACCAATTTGTATTGCATGTATTTTCCATAATACACCAAATTGTAATGCATGTATTTTCCATAGTATACCAAATTGTAATGCATGTATTTTCCACAGTATACCAATTTTATAATGCATGTATTTTCAATCTTTCTGACTTTAGACTACACCAGATTTTATGGTTTTCGTCTTGTGACCTCGGGAGAGCTTCTTTAAAACCAGTGTTATGATCATTTTAGAATGGTTGCACTGATATCTGGCAGGCTAACAATGGTATCAGTCAATCACTGTTTTGTAAACCTATTTATAAATATCTTCATCATTGAAAACACTTAGTGATTTACATTTGTTTTTTTTTTAACAAATTTTTGTAGAAAATTAAGTTTAAAAATGTGTTAATTCATTGAATTTCTATTTCAGGTGTCATTCCAAAGTCTACTAATCCTACCCATATTAAAGAAAACATAGATATATTCTCATTCAGTCTGGCTGAATCAGATATGTGCAAGCTCAGCAACCTTGATAGTCAACACCATTACTGCTGGAACCCGGCCTCTGTCACCTGATTAACGTTTACTCAGCCAGGTGCCAGATGTCATTTCTACTTGAACCCAGCCTCGTTTACTTGAATAATGTTAACTCAGCCAGGAGCCAGACGTCATTACTGCTGCAACCCAGCATCTGTTACCTGATTGATGGTTAACTTAGCCAGGAGCCAGATGTCATTAGACTTTTGATAAGTGATATCATGTCACAAGTTGTTAAATACAGTGTAAAGATGCTAAACCATTTGCAAACCATTAAAAAACAAGCGGAGAACTTTAAGCATATTGTGTTCTTTCTTTGTCTGATTCTCAGTAGATCATTTTAAATTTAGTCATAGCCAAAGTTGTCATTCTAAGTGCTCCATCTTGAAATATATAATAACTTAGTTATCCTTAAATAGACCATGGCTTTAACTGTAATCTTAGCCGTGAATAGACTGAGATAGGAAAATCTACATGTGTTTGTTATGGACATTATTTTATCTTTTTATTGGGTTTTAAATAGCATCAGCATTGCCATGGTCAAAGAGTAAGTTTAGTTATAGAAAAATGCTGCAAACATGGCTCTGTGCAGGTAGAAACAATGAAATTATGCAATTATATTTGTTGGGGGGTGAGGGTAAAAGTTGCATGATACATCTCAGTCATATCTGTTCCAATCATTGACCATTCTTTAATAAATATCTTCTTTAAGTTTGACTTGTTCTTGTGACTTGTTCTTGTCTGTTTCATTATACTCCCTTAGAAACATTTATATTTACAGTCGGATTTGGTTTTGAGACATCTATGGAGTATCGATCAGTTTTCAATTTAGGTATTTTAATTACATATACACGTTCTTGGTTTTTCCAGGTATATATACCATATACCTGGTTTTTCGTACGACTATCAGACTATTCTTAGTTTGCTTGAAGTGAGTCTGATAACACATTTGGAAGTTTTACATTATCTAATTTATTTCCATTATACTTGTATTTAATTCCAATGTATTACATCTTTGTTTTAGTAAAATTTACGCACTTTAGATAGGGAAGGCAAGACATATATGCAAAGAAATGAACCGTAATTACTTTTAACCTTTATTATTTCATGATATTTTAAATGGAATTTGCTTTTTAGCTCGACTTTTCTATGAAAAGGGGAGCTATCCTACTCGCCCCGGCGTCGGCGTCGGCGTCAGCGTTGGCGTCACACCTTGGTTAAGTTTTTCGTACCACCCCACTTTATTTCAGAAGTATTACAAGTATGGCTTTGAAACTTACCATACTTGTTCACCATCATAACCTCCATCTACAGACAAGAGTACATAACTCTGTCAAGGTTTTTGACAGAATTATGGCCCTTTTTTGACTTAGAAAGTGTATTGAGCTTGGTTAAGTTTTTTGTACCACCTCACTTTATTTCAAAACCATTGGAGGTATTGCTTTGAAACTGACCATACTTGTTTACCATCACGACCTTCATCAACAGACAAGAGGACATAACTCTGTCAAGGTTTTTGACAGAATTATGCCCCTTTTTGACTTAGAAAATACATTGAATATGGGTAAAATCCACTTATTGCCCTAACCCTTTGAGATATTGCTTTGAAACTTTTAATGCTATTTCACATCATTACCCCCATCTGTACGCAAGAGAAGGTAACTCTGTCAAGGATTTGTTTTAAAAATTAAGGCCTTTTATCGACTTAGAATCTTGGTTAAGTTTTTAGTACCAGTCCACTTTTTGACTGAACTGTTTGAGATATTAATTTGAAAGTTGGAATACTTGTTTACAATCATGATTCCCAAACATGTCCAGGAGAAGGTAATTCTGTCAAAGATTTTATTTGAATTATGGCCCTTAACTGTCAATGTTTTGTATTATAGGCAAGCACTAAAAAACTTAAAAAATCTAAAAAAATTCATTCCTATCCACTTGTTCACTTTACCATAAATTATGTCATAATAAAATAATTCTTCACTAAATATCTTAATGCTCATGGCCATTGTTCACTTTAAAAATACAGAGATTCTTGTATTGCCTTTTACTGCAAAAACTTTTTTTATTGGCAAGCAATAAAAAAGTCGAGCGCGCTGTCTTACGGACAGCTCTTGTTATACATGAATATTATCTGAAAAACGATGTTTTACAGCACCTACATATTTAATTGAGAACGTTACTTTAACATCGCATTAAGCTTCAAAAACATGCATTTCATTTGAGCAGTTTGAAGATATTAGGCACTTTGAAGAAAACGAGTCATAAACAATCGCCTGGGGATTTATGACATTATCTGATTCCTTTACCAGAATCTCGCAGCTTTTCATGTCTTCATTTACCCGGAGAACGTTGTTTGATGCATATCCACAGACAATAAGGTCACCCGCATGATCAACGCAAATGCCACGTGCTTCCGCCAATTGTTGTGACGTAAATGAATTCAAGTATTGTCCGTCAACAGTTATTGTAATGATTCCTTTATAATTATCAGCTATATATATTTTCGTTTCGTCTGCACTGATAGCCAAGTACATCGGTTGCGGTGAAACTATTTTTCCGTCTCTATCCTTAGTAAAAGACCTCAAAAAGACTCCTGTAGAATAAATAAAAAAAACAATGTAAAATATATATACATTTTAAAGATGAAGCATTTACGTTGTACATGAATTTATTACACTTACTCATATCTTAGAATATAGATGTGTAAACATAAATACCTTTTGTGCTATAAACACGTATTTGCCCGAGACCTTCGTCGGCATAAGAGCCACCTCCACATGCAACAAAAAGCTCCTCTTTCTCTCTACTGTAAACTATACCCCGACAATATTCTCCTAAAGATATATCAGTCGTCAGTTGTATATTACAGTTTCCGATCTGGTACAGATTGACTACCTTATCTCGGACCATTGACACGGCAAATTCGTCATCTGTTATACAACATATACTAAAAGGTTCAAATGTGCGTTGATCATCAGAGTTTTCAATGTCAACTTTCAAGTCAAATGTTTTAATGATATTTAAATCAGTATCTAAAATCTTGATATTCTTATTTTCTGCGTCTAGTATTAGAAAATGTCCCGAACTTGTCTGGATAGCATCTTGTATGTCGCATGTTGCACCATCGTCCTCCACATGAACAGAGAAACCAGTCATCTTTACACGAGAGGCGCTTTTTGCACCTGTTGATCTCTTACACGTGCCAATACTTTTTAAAGAACAAACATACTTTTCTAGATGTTGATTTGCGACAAAATTTACTGATGTAATATTTCTTTTATCCCGTAATGATTCGCGTATTTGCTTCATGTCTTTCAAAAGTTTCTGTCCATTCAAAATATTCAAGTTAGATTCAGCTAGATTTTTATTAGATTTTTCCTCTGAGTATCTTATTTGTTTCAGACCCATGTCTAACAAAGTTATAGAAGCTTCCGATTGTCTCAAGTCTGATTCTATAGCGTCATCTTCTTTAATACACTCTGTGTTAATTTCATCAACAGCAATTTTCTCTAGTTCATCAAATTTATCATTGACTTTCTTCCGTAAGTCACGAACATTTGACAGAGACTTGGCAGTGGATTTTCTCAACAGTGACCGGTCGTTTCTTCGTGATACGTTTAAATCTTTAAAGTTGTTGATCATTTCCTGTAGATCTTGAATAAGAACTTCGACGTTTGGTTGTGATTCTGTTTCACCAAATAATTGGTATAGGTCTTTTACGTTCTCACATGAACTGAAATGGTCGTGAAATTACATTATAACTGTGTGAATGCAAAGGAACATCCTTTAATTTCAATATTTAATATCTATTTAAGTACAAATTATTAGATTTCAAAGTTCAAAAAAGAAATAGCTCATAAACGTTTTTTTGAAGTTTTTGATGAAAGTTTTTAATTCTTACCTATGTTCGATTACTACGCATGCGCCGCAACATAAAATTTCATGATCCTCGCAATATGAATCAAGCTCATTGTCAGGGTGCCTTGTGCAATTATTTTCTGTTTTGCTTGCATTTTTGAGCCATTCTGGCATTTCATCTCTGCTCAGTAGTTTATGTTGTTTTGAAACACTAGCAAACTGTTTTATATGTTGTCTTAGACAAGTCCTGCAGAAGTTCTCATTGCAATCGGCACAATATTTAACGGCATCAACTGTTTTATCATCTCTGACACATGGTGTGCAGAGAATTTTAGCTTCAACTGACATCCTTTTCTTCCGTAGAAAAAAAAACACTAGAAAATCGTTCAACTCTTTATAAGTGAATAGCTTTTTATGAAATAAGATAAAAGGTAAACGACTTGTAACAAAACGGTATTGGGTTCCTTTTGTTTCTATTTATTGTGTACGTATAAATGTCAGTTTAATCTATCGCTTGACTAGTGTAATGAATTGTTCTGTCCGTCAAGCTATTCACTAGGTTTTTAAATTTGATATTTCGTTAAATAGAAATACCAATGACGATTTCATTTAGTAATTCAATATTTTTAAAGGCTGAGAATAAGAAACGCTACTAGTATATATTCTATACTTTATTATTTTATAATACTGGAAAAATAGGTCACATATAGACAGATAAAAGTACATGTATATGATTTATTCCAACTACTAGTATCAATTTTATTTTGATACCAGATAGTTGTATTTTAATAAAACTCTTTGCTTAATTCATTAATTCAAGATATACCTGATAAATTATAATTTGTATGACCAATACTGTATTAATTGCCTTTATTTTAATATTTTACACAGAATATTGTCTTCATTTAAAGCTATATATAACATAATTTTGAATACCAGAGTTTCCTTGGCCAAATACTTTAGAGCACAAACTTCTTACTACTTTCTTTTCCTCTCCGCTGCGAGTATTTCATTTTGAAAGATATATATACAATCTTTGTATTAGATGCATTAGATAGGCACTATTTTGATCGATCTAGATTTAGTTTTGTGTTTGCTGTTTTCTTGAGTCACCAACAAAGTTCCTGTATTTGGGTCGACACACAGCGATTGTAATCGTCCGTAACATTGTATCTCTCGTACTAATATACCATACGTTGACATGATAAGAATCTTTCCTTTGACATCTGCAATAAACAATTGGTTAAGGTCCACCGCAAGACTACAAGGCTCTAACTCATCTTGACTGTATTCCCATCTGGTCTTTCCCAACTCATTCATGCAACTTACTTTTCCTCCTACGAAATCTGACAAGTATATTTTACTACCGGCATCGGACATAGCTATTTGTGGAAAGTGTGCCTCTATTTGTATCCTTGATATCAAGGAACCATCGTCGCTGGAAACTATTCGTATTTCTCCGCGGCGACAAACGGCGAACCGATTTTTGCAGTATGCTACACTGTAGCTTCCCCCTCTTCCACTTATACTTATGTCTCTTTTATGACTAAGCGCCCGATAGGAGGCTGTATAGATACTGATGAAATCTTTCTCTATAAAGCTGACTACCACCCCGTTTTCTGAAATTGTTGCTATGTCACATGGCTTAAAGTGAAATACTAATTCGTCAAGGACCTCGCTATTCCTGTTAATTAACTGCACACACTTGTGTTTTTGATCACAGACAACCACTCGACCACTAGTAAGTGCCGCTACGCCACTTAAGTTACACGACCCCTCGTGATCTGAACTAAGAATAATAGGATCATCTCGGATACCTTCTGTCTCTTCATATTCATCTGTAAATTCATTGCCGTGTTCATTACGGTATGTTACTCCCCCGTTTGATCTTCTATTAAATTGGGCATTGAAGGTATGATAAGGATTCGAAATATGCATACCGTATTTGTTTTTTATTCTGTTGTTTGGATACTTTTGTAATAAACTTCTAGGAGAATCATGATTTCTGAAAGATAATGGTGTCGAATTTCCAGCATCTGCGTTTGATGGATAATTGGTCGGTATAGCCGGTGACCTTTGCGACAGTGGTGACGATTCCGAAAACTCGTTAAACTCGTCGAATGGTATCTGGAGCGAAACGTCACCAAATTCCTGGACATTATCCATAAAGTCCAAGATGGCATTTGAAATTCGGAACTGCAATGACTTTGTTGGCATTTTCTCTTGCTGGACTCTAAGTTCTGTCTTTTTACTCTGAAATGCAGATTTCTCCGAGACCAGTCCTGATATAAGCGCTATGTCATCACTTGTTTTTAAGCATACTTTGATACTGTCCTTCATCTTATAAAGATCGGATTCTAAGAGTTGTATGTCGCTCTGATCTTTGGTAAAAGCTCTGCCACTTTTTTCGACAATCTGCTTTAGTTTGTTTGTTAGCTTTTGCTCTATCAAGTCTAAATGTCTGTTCAATTTATCGCGTGTTTTCCTAATCTCACCTCTTATGTTTTTCTCAGAGAGACGTAACCTCTCTTGATACCTGATTCTGTCTCGTTTTAATGTTTTAGATGTTTCAACCATCAGTGACATTTCATCTTGAAGAATTTTTCCAACGGATTTCATTTTCTGTACACCCTCAGATATTGGCATAAAATCACTTAACATGTCGTGTTGTTCCATTGCACATTTTAAACACATGCATTTTTCAAATCTATTTGAGAAAATGGTAATTGGCTCGCCGTGGTGACGACGGCATTGTGGAGGAACTTTCGTCTTTCCGTTCTGCTGTTTTGTTGAAGCCATAGTTTTAATCTTTTCTGTTCGCTTAATGTGAAAAAACAAAACAGGATGTTGTTACAAAACAAAAATGGCACGAAACAGTGAATTTAGGAAATAAACAGCACTATACTTCAGCTTAAAAATTATCAAAGAAAAAAATAGAATTATCAAATGAAAAAAAAAATAAAACGCCCGTGTACTTCAATTTAGCATTCTTATTTTCTTTAGTCATAAGTTATTTTTTGTGAGACGTAGTTTTCTCCTTTATACGACGTATTATAGAGCATTTTAAAAATAACTTAACCATGTTACAAAAGTAAAAATTGTTACGAAAAACTGTTTCGTTTAATCTTGAAAAAAGAAAAATAAGTGCCCACTTACCTATTAAATAAGATAATTCTTTTATCTTTTCTATAAATTACTATTATGGTTTACTTGTTTCAATTAAACGATAAGAATAAACTTTCATTTTAACTTTTTAAATGACTTGATTTCAGGTTAACATAAACAAAGAAGTCACAAAACCATAGCGTGTTCCAATTGTTTGATTTTTCTATTTAAATACCATGCAATGCAAACTTATTATCGGTCATAATGTAAACTTGTATATTATTTCTAGTAGAAATTGATATATCTGTGGTGCCTAAATTAGTAATTTACAGTAGATAAACATGATACATGTGTTGTCTTTTAGAGAAATGAACCATTTGTAAATGAACCAATAAACCGATGTTTCACTTATTTGCCCCGAAAGCAGACATATACAAACATTAATGTATAATAATAGGGAAACAGTAACCATAAAGGCCGACTTAATTTTCAAAACTAAAACAAAAAAGTTGCGAGAAAAAATTTGACTATGACTGTTCATGTACGGTAGAGGTTGATGCAAGTTACCTGCGAAGATCCTTCCACGATCTAGACTGGAACAAAGGTTAGTTAGGTGTCATATAGTATAAACTATATATACGGGAGTTATTTAAAACAAAAATGTTGCGGGGGAAAATGATAAAGCTTGTTCATTGACGGTAGTTGTTGATGCAAGTTAACTTCCACGATTACGACTATAGGCACTTGGTTTCGGGATTTAGAAATCCTTCTGAGAGGTTTGTAGAACTCAAATTGGATTGAATGTAACGATTATTTCAACGCAGATGTCTCGATTTTATAAAACGTCATTTTTCCGATGTTACTAAGTTTTTTTCCTACAAACCTCTCGGAAGGGTTATGCCGAAACCAAGTGCCCATGATCAGGACTGGCGTGAGACTGAAAATAGATTACTTAAATTATCTTATAGTATAAATTATATATAGGGGAGTTATCTATTTAGGTGATGTGCCTGAATTTTTATAATGATTGCGATCATTTGTTGACTTTGTCTTGTAGAAAAGAAGGGATTGATGAAGGGTAGATTATTTCAGAATTTACACATTATGTCAACTAAAACAAATCCCCCTCCCCGCTACCGCAACACTGTTACTTTGACTCGAAAATGTAAGATTTCTGAATAATTCAAACCAAGCTATATTTCTGTCATGCACTTTTCTAGAAAATCTTGTAATAATTAACACTTTTCTGGACAAGTTGCCTCTAAAGGTTTTAAATGGTAGAAATATATATTAGACCCTCTGAAATTTGTAGATGATTTGTTTGTAAATAGATAAAACTCATTACAGCGGGATAATATTTGTAGATTTACAACAGAGCAGATGGTTAATGCTCATGTGTAGCAAACTAATAAAATATTGTTATGGAACATTTTATTCTGTTTATATAAATCGTTTATTGTATAAAAAATACAAGATATGATCGCATGAGTACGACTGCAACCTGATAATCAGATTGTAAAGTCAACAGCTATGACTGTGTCGAATGTTATAAGTCGCAAACATACGTTTTTTGAAGTTTACTTCAATAGTTTACACATCATCGACTTTTGCTGATCTTTCGTTTTTTAAAATTAACACATCCTAGTATGCAGAAAAAAAATTAGTTCGTGACAGATGTTGCATAACCAAATGGGTATTTGAATGGATTATATGTATTTATGAAACATATGTATATAAGTGGAATAAAAACTTGATAATGATATGTTTAATTATTATATAAGCGCAGTATCTTGTTTTATGGATATTTTAACTTGACATGAGAGTTTACTATTTCGTATCATTCAATCACTGATTTGGTTAGTTTTATCAGCTTGAGAGTCATCTCATACTGAGCCCAAGTATAGATTAGACCTTATATAGTTGATGACCGTGCAATAAGGGAGTTATAATTACATCTGTGTCTTTACTTTTCGGTCGTTGCAAAATGGAATCTCTGTCGGCCGTTTTGTGTGGGAAAGAAACGATAAAATTTGTAAGTTTTTATTTATTTTATTTCATTTTTTTTTTAATTTTATTTATTTACAAAAACCACTTAAAGCAATACTTTAAATTATGTTGAAAAGTGCGTGGTCCTATATATTTAATATTATATGTGCTAACTTACAACATGTGCTATTTTTTCATACTGTAAGCTAACTTCAAACATTTGCTGTATACCTATCGAAAGTATTACATACTTTATAAAATTTAAAGAGATGAATCACTTTTTTTACAAAAATAAACAAGAAACTATTTGCTTTTCACAGTCATATAAAACTTTGTTGTTTTCTCCGAAATTGTCGTGCTCTAAGAACGTCATGTCTATTGTTATCTACTGGCTCTTTTGTTAAAAGCAGTCTAGTGAATCACTTACCGACCGCTTAAAATTCATCTTCTTTCATTTCGTAAATTATATGACACTTGTCGTTCGACAAAATGACCCAGGTAATCCGAAAATCCGAAAAACTAAGTATTATATATGCGTTTCTTGTACTGTTTAACACCGACAAACCAAAAAGTTGCTTCTATAGTCCGGCGGCTTGGTCATTGATCATGAAAAGCAAATACTTTCTTGTTAATTTTTGGAAATAAAGTTAAAAGCCGTATTCGCAGATTCATTTTTTTTTAAATTAGATTTAGTATATAATGTATATGCATCACAATGAACACAACAAGAATGTTTATACAATGAATGCTTTATAAATTATATAATAAGTATGTTTTCACAATAAATTTTTCACAATTAATACTACAAGTGAGTACAACAAGTAACGCTTCACAATTAATACAAGAATGCTTTCTTTCACAATAAACTTTTCAGAATGAAAGTTCATGTATGTTTTAACAATAAATGCTTCACAATGAGTGCAACAAGTATGTTATGACAATAAATGCTTTACAATTAATATAATAAACTTGTATGTTTTCACAATGAATTATACACAATGGGTACAAGTTTTTATAAGCGTAACTTAATTTCACTTAAGTTATATCAGTGCTATTTTTTAAATTAAAATAAGCACATGCAGTCAGTATTTCATTCCAAATCAAAACTACATGCACTTGTATATTACACAAAACATAAATTGTCTATTTGTAGGAAAATCGAATTGTACAAGAACCCGGTCCTGGAGGTAAGAAAAAATTGAATATTTCTACTCGAAAACCTTTTTTTTTTCTTTCATGAACATTTTCCTGAATTGAAAGACATTTATGAATTTGCCATGTAATTCATTTGAAACTGTCTTGGTTTAACGATGTAATTTTTTTCAATTGAAAAAAATGCATGTACTTATAAGTTTCAGTTTGTCTAAATATTGGCTATATTTCACGGAAGAATGTGCATACTGGCCTAGCTCTTCTCTGTTGGCTTGGGCAAGTCGTTATGACAGTTTAAACAATTAACTGATCAAAACGAAAGATGATAATAATTTACTTTGTCAGAATGAAGATTTGTATTACATCTTACCACTTTTTTAGAATCTATGTGAATAATTAGAGATGTAAATTTAAGACAAGGAATTGTATCTTGGTTTTGGGAGATATAGAAAGATTTCCCAATGTTCAGATGAGGAACAATTTAACTATTCTGAAGTACGACAACTTAGTAAAGGTCTATTAAGGCACTAAAATTGCTATTTTATAATACATTATTGTATTTCAAACAACTTTTTGTACGTTTTGTTGCAGTATTACAGTTTCGTTTAATGTAATTATTAGCCAGGCTGCTGAGCCATCTTAAATTGATTATTGGTTATTATAATTAATACAGTAATAGTGAATATGTAAGGAAAACATGATACCAATTTATATGTGTTTTGCTTTAATCATGAAAATATTTCATATTCAACACTGCTTCTGATCATACGCGAAAAGTATATACCATTCTCTAAATTCATTATTTATGCATCAAACACAATTGTGGGTTTGCCTTATCCCATGATCATATGTATCTCACTTTTTCAATCGTACCAAGATCAGATCCATTGGTAGGACCTTAATAGACAAGGAAACGTTATGAAAAAGATTATATAGAAATATGATCGGTATTACTTTAGTTGCATTCTTTACTTGATTTAAATCAGAAACATTTAAATGCTTTTCATTTAAAGGTAATTTTGCACAATAAAAAAATTAAAATTATTATTTTGCAAGAAAAGAAAAGCAAGTAAGCGGATGATGTTAAATATTTGCACACAAGTTGTTGATATAGACCTATATCAAATGGTGTGAAACTCTCGGGGAAATATTTCAAGTCCCGTCTGCATGCCAAACTGCTTGCCTCCAGATGAGTCAATTCACACTTCTTGATAAAAATGTTCTGAGATTAAAAAATAATGTAGACCGATATTCAAGATTCAAGTCAATATTTACATAATATATGCAAATATTGACCGATTTTACAGTATTTATCGCCATATTCGTTCTCTACTTGTTGAAAAATAATCATCTTTCTATATAAGTCCTAAACCAATTATAGGCGACAGGTTAGAACGTGGACTTCATTAATCAGCAAAGATAAAAAAAAAGATATATACATATGTTACTATATAACAAAAACCTTGACTTTGATATACGATAAATTCTGAAAAGTAGATAGACGAAGAGCGGTAAACAACTGAAAATGGGTCAGTAACACTAAGGATTGAGAGATCGTGAAACAGGTTTTTGACTTACTATCTACATTTAAATGTTCTTGCACTCCTATGTATTAAACAGGATTTAATACAAAATGAATGTTTACGTTGCGTTTATGCATCGACAAAACGTATTAACTGCATTTAAAATTTATTGGCAATTAGAGTGTTATGATATGTATGTAATTATTATACTATAACATTAGCATATACATGTATATGTATATGACGCAATGCTAGATATTATCAAGTTTTATAAGCATGTACAAATGTTCATTTTAACGAAATACAGTCAAACACGTCCTAAAGACCACATCATAAGGAAGGTAAGGCATATACTTTACTTTTCAAGGCTGGTCGTAGTTGATAGTACGAAATATTCACCCGAAACAAATAATGTCGACCGAAGCGTTGGCCAAGGTTCAAAGCCGCAGTATGATGTGATATTATTGAAATATACCTGGAACTTAAAATAAAATAAAATAAAATAATATATTTTAAGTTTGAGAATATACCAATAAAATCAAATTTTAAGAGAGATATGCCAACAAATAACCAGTGGGCCGTTTGATAATAATTATAAGCGGTCGGAAAAATGATGTTTACTTTAAAAATGATACTTTATGAATATTTTTGCCCTCTGGCGTCACAAAAAGGTTATATAAAGAGAATCGCGTAATCAAATGAAAGATATACAAAAGCAGTTTTATAAAAAAAATCAAAAAAAGTAGCTCTTGAAATGAAAATAAAAATGTAATGATTAAAATTTCAATCTCGATTTATTATGTTTGCTTATGCATGACTATTGAAAATGCAACATATCACACTCCCTAGCACCGATTTAAGCAGTATCTTATATATTTAATTTATTTTCCGATACTTTGAATAGAAGTGCAGCTGTCAATGCGCAATGTGGGTCTGTGTGGATCTGATGTGTACATGTATAAGAACGGATGTCATGGCACTCATAGATTAGGCGGATCAGGAATATTGGGCCATGAGGCAAGTGCTGTTGTCACAAAGGTGGGAGAAGGAGTAACAAAACTTAAAGTTGGTAAGAATATTGTGATGTTACCTTTTATACATTGTTTATTGGTTATTTTGTTGTGGGAATATTTTAAGACATGCATTTATTTAGTTCAAGACGCCTGCTTGTTTTCAATAGTTATTATAAACAAGTTCATACATTTGCTTGTTTATACATTGAACATGATTCTCTAAATTTTCAATTTTATGTTATCTAGGATTAATGATAAGGTCTTGAAATTAAAGATTGCAAAGTGCAGTATGACACCAGGGTCAATGAAACGAGATGTTGGGCGGTGTTATAGCATTGTTTTCATTAAGCTTAGGCCAAGGAAGAATGGATGTTTATTGTACCTTGCACTATCTTTGACGAATCATAAATATTTTTTTATTTTACAAATAAAACTTTACAAAAGCATATGCTCTCGAAAAGTTGCATTTATAAGTACTCTGTGGCGACAATTAATGATTGTATTAAAAGTAAAAAAAATATATTCAGGCGATCGAGTGGCTTTAGAACCAGGAGAAGCATGTAATAAATGCAAGAATTGCCTCAGGGATGTCCGTAATATGTGCCTTACTGAGAAACCGTTTGATGGCAACACTTCCAAGTATGATGGTTATATAACAAAATGCAAACTAATGAGAGCAGACTATTGTTACAAGTACGTATACATTTTTTTGATATAACAAATTACATTTAGAGGACCATTTAATCCTAAAACGATACAATTTTTATTTCATTTTTGGTGTACGTTTCATTGTGGCCTAAGGTAATTAGCCATATACCTTACCACTCTTTTGTTTCTATTCAGCAAGTGGCATGCAGTACAGATAACAATTTTTCATATGAAAGTCAAAAGACCACTTTGTTTACAGTTTGCTACTTTTGTGATAACATATTTTATAATAAGCGTTACTTTTCTCCTACGATATACATCTTATATGCTCTAGATTCATTATTAATACAGTATCAAATGCATGTTTTGCCCCTGTCCATAAAGTAAAAACACAAAAGTATCTCAGAGCTAAACGTGGCTTTAATTTCAGTTGCATGAAAACACGATGTCTCTCTGGTGGAATGGATTATTTTTGCATTAAACATTACACTAATGTCAAAATTTGGCTACTATTTGCTTAATGCATATTTAAGTAATTTGGCTCTAATGTAATGGACTGGATAACTGGATAAGTTTTTAAATGAAATCAGAGCATTTTAAGCTGACAAGTATCATTATGTAATGAAAAGTAATAAAAGTACATTTAAGAAGATTCAAAGTGATGGCAAACGTTTAGTCTGAAATTGTCCTAAGAACAACATTTTTTTCTTTAGTTTAAACTTATTTAGTTCGTCACGAAAGGACATATTTACTTACATGACATGTACAATCAATACAAAAAAGGATTAGACTGAAAGCAACCTAATGCTAATTGAAGTTTTTCCCAACTTTTCTTTACTTACATAAATAACTATAAAAATTATATTGTGTTAAAATGCAATTCAGATTGCCAGATAATGTGAGTGATGAAGAAGGGGCATTGATGGAGCCATTGGCTGTAGCTGTACAAGATTGTAGACGAGCCGGAGTAGAGGCGGGAAAATCTGTCCTTGTGCTTGGTTCAGGTAGCACTGTATAATTTATGTAAAAAGAGCTGATAAATTTATGTATGCTTTTTAGATTATCAATATACCACAGATAGGTATTACTGTAATTATGGTTGACAGAATATTCCATTTTTTCAATTTTGTGCTTATGACAGCTTCAAAGTTCTGTTATGGACAATCCATGAAACATAGCTTTTATCAACACCTTTGTTTTTACAAAGGTATCTCTATACATATTTGCCTATTTAAACAGTTGAAATTACACAGGTAAAATGTGAAGATTCTGATGGAACTTACTAATGAATATATTTATTAAAACGTAAAGTATCATATGTTGAAGGTAGTTAAAAATATATTCATTCATCTCTTGAATAATCAACCATTGTTATAGGTCATTGGTCATACCAATACGTTGCAAAATCATTACTTGTGACTTTACATTTTCAAAATTACATATATCAATCAATATTTTTAACGTTTATCAAAATACTTGAAATTCTCATTGGAATAATTGTTCACAGTGTTACCTATTACAATTTTATTTTATTTCTTGCTCCTGCAGAATATAATACATATGCATTGTGTCCTTCCACATAACGGTTGTATGCATATGGGTCTGTAAAACATTAAATAAGCAATTTTCTCAAACGTGGTATTTTCAGGACTTTTTTAAAATTTTGAAATTCACCATTTTCATGTGTAAATGTTGAATTCTGACTGTTGCTAGTAGGCGTTGACGGTATCTTGCAGTTATCACTGTTGTTCATTTATACGCTAAATCAAACCGAACCTGCAATACATATAACTATGTTCAATTTGTCATTTTGGGGCGCTCCTTAGGGATTCCGTTTCTCTGTATTTACATGATAGACCCATACTGTTGTTAGATAACCGAATTATTTTAATCTTTTGAAAAACATCTACATGATCTAGTTTTGTCTTCATTGATATACTAGTACATTATATCAAAATAAAGTGTCATGGCTAATCTATACGGATATGATAGACTTGATAAAACTTCTTTCAGGTACGATTGGCTTACTCTGCATGATAACTGCTAAAGCTATGGGAGCTACAAATGTTTGTATAACTGGTGAGTGATGGGTACACGTTTTTAAATGTTTCTTTATCTTATTTTAAAACAATACAAACTGTTATGATGACTACTGCATCTAGCAAGAAAATTTTATTTAATTAAATATTTAATAGAAGTTGATAAAACAAAACTGCAAATGAAGATGTCTTTAGTTTAAATTGTAAAAAAACTATATATCTGATGTAAAAATTATTATTTGAATTTTAAGAATAAAATACTTCCAAAATGCTTGTATGAAATAATTATGGTATGGTAATTTATTGCTTTTAAAGTGAATGATGAATGCACAAAATCATTGCTAAACGGATAAAACCCTACTTAAAATAGCATTCTAACACTATCGGATTTTTTTCTATATAGACAAAGAAGGCCGGAAGCGTGCATTATTCTACAACAATGCACTCGCCGTTCTTATTATCTCCCTGTGTATTTTCACATTGAAGGCGCCATTTTGTTTAAAAAATCTGATAAATTAAAACAATTTTTTTCGAATTTTGTTGTGAAAACTATCTAGAATGAAAGAAAATGGTCTAACTAAGAAAATTAATCCGAACACCAATATCTTTAATTCAGTCGTTAACGCTGTACAGACGTTTAAAGTGTTGTTTACGTGACGTCACAATGTAGCGCCAAACAGCACGTGCAAAACAATCAAATCAAGTTCGCCATTTAATGTCGCAAACGAGTTTAGTTTTACATTTATTTCACTTTTAATAATTTGTATTTCGCTTGGAAAATTATAAACTGAAATAAATAAACAAACAAAGTTGTATCAACGTTTTCAAAATTCGTTATTTTCAAAATGTTTCTACAAACGGTAGATTTAACAGTTTTTTTTTTCAACCCACTGGAACGGCCTCTAAAGAACGTTTCTATTGGAAACTCTGAGGCGAAAACAAATTCAACCACCAAACATAAAGTCCAACGTTATAATAAAAATTATATTTTTTCTTGACGTATTAGAATGGAAATAGATATCAATTCTTCGTGCATTATTGTATAATAATGCACGTTTTTCGTTCAAATGCTTTGTAATTAATCACTCAGGCCTATCGGCCTTCGTGATTATATTACTACGCATTTGAACTCAAACCGTGCATTATTCTACAACAATGCACTCAGAATTGATATCTATTTCCTAAATATAATGTTTTGTTCCGGAACATTTTATTCTGTTTAATACGTGCATTATTTATGTGTATAAAATAACAGAGACATTTTATGTTACAATTTATCGGGAATCAAACCACGGATGTAAAATAAATCCGTGATCAAACATATAATAATGGAACCAATATATTTCTACTGTTAAGATAAAGATTTATACCCTTTAATGTGCGAAATGTCATAAAACATAGAACTTAAAATGCAAACGAGTGAAATATATACTTTTCTCGTTAATTAACTGGTTCTGATCTCCTTATATATAATTCATATAACAAATTACACATGCCAAGTGACTAAGGTCGTTAACTTCAAACCACTTGCCCCTCACTGCTGTGGGTTAAAATCCCGCCAGCCAGATTGTGGGGAGTTATTCTTCTAGCTTACGTAACATCGGTAGTTCTACTCAGGTGCATAGAATAATGCACAGAGAAGCATCTGAGGTCTTCTTCCACTAGTAAAGCTGGAATGTTGTCGCCATATGACCTACATAAAGCGTTATAAAAACGCCTACAAACGAGATAGAAAAAGGGACAGGGAAATCATGCTTTTTGACCAATATATCTCATAGGAAAAAAATCAAAGGACCATACTTCTGTCAAAAAATAATCAAATAGATAATAAAATACCAAATACTTGATGACAAACATTTTGTGAAAGTTTGGTTGAAATTTAGGGCTGTTTGCGCACAGAAGAAGTTGGTTATGCACAACCATTAACCCGCTGACATTTACCAATCTAGAGAGCTCTGTTGGAAAAACCTTGTTCAAATTTGTAATTCTTAAAAAGTATATATAACATGTAACACGTATTATAGAGCCGCTATATTTATCATATTTATGATCATATTGCAGATGTTGTTGAAGAAAGACTGAAGCTTGCTAAACAGTTAGGAGCTACTCATACTGTTCTTACAAACTCTTCTGACGTGGACTCTGTCGTCAAAGAAATTCACAGTATCATGGGAGAAATGCCTGACATAACTATTGAATGTACAGGGAACAACTTTTGCCAACGATTAGCTATAATGGTAAGCATGGCATTTGACATATCTGCTTGTTTAAAAGTATGTTCGTTGATAATATTTTTTTTGTACGTGCCCAGCGCTGCACAGTAGATTTCGTAAAGAATATCCTGCATGAAATAATAAGTCGCACTCGACTAATACTTTGACAATGTGTAAACATAGCTCTACTGAATTGAGACCTTAAGATATGTCTTGCTTTGCCGTAATTTGTAAACAACCAAAAAGAGTTACATATTTTGTATATACATATGATACAAATAGTGTGAATTTACTCATTTTCGTTAATTTAATTGTATGGTGTGTTATACCTTTGTGTTTCAAAGTATTCATATAAGTGGTCACAACGAAGTTAATGAATTTTGAATAAATCAAGTCATGGTGTCTGTTCAATTACAGTCTACAACACCAGGCGGCTGTGTTGCTATAGTAGGATATGGGGCAGAAGAAGTAACTTTACCTTTAGCAGTACTGTGTCAAAGACAAATTGACCTCCGACCTTCATGGAGATACGATCAACATTGGTAAATTTTACTTGATGAAATTAATTTCTTAAACATTTGAATTGGATCACCAATGAATGACCTATCTTTTATATCAAGATAAGAAATGGCTCCAAACGATGTTAACCCTAATGGTTGGTCCATGTCGCAAACATTCAAATGGGTTGCACCGTCATAATGCATTGTTTGAATATTATAATTAAATGGCTAATTTTCTGATGCAAATTATATATGTATTAATCAGTACATTTATTTGTTATTATTTGGAATAAGAATGAGTACCTTCAAGAAAAGCAATACGTAAAATAAATCTGCATAATTTTGACACTTTACATCTTATATGAAACAATATATTCAGTAGCTTTTATGTTTTAGGTTCAACTATACATAATTCTGTGTTTCAGTTATCCAATAGCAATAGATATGGTAGCATCTGGTAAAGTCAACATTAAACCATTGGTGACACATAGATTTACTTTAGAGCAAACTACAGATGCTATTCAAGTGGCAGCCAGTCGTAGACCAGGGGTCCTTAAATGTATGATAACTTGTAACGAGTGATACCTGAAGAACAGATACAGTAATACAAAGACCGCTACAGTCGAATTTTTAGTTACATATTATTACTATATCTTCAAGAAAAGATATTGATATGCAAAACACAATAGTATGAATTCATTATTGCATATATTACAAACGATAACGTATTATGTACATCTTGTATTAAAAAATAAAAGCAAAAATGTTAATGAGATTGTATTTTTGTGCTTGTGATGCTAATATTATGTATAGCAGATAGTTTTGTCAATTCAATATTATATAACGTAATATATATTTGAGGTTTTTTTGCAATTAGTATGTTATTAAATGATAAAATTATCTATTTGTTCGGTTTTATATCAAAATATGCTTGAAAATTAGATACTTGTACAGATTTGCTTAAGAATTATGATTTAGAATAATTTATGGTGTTCAAACTATTTTTCCAATGACATATGTTAAGAAACTATTGTTTCGGACTTAATCTACATTAGTGCAATACTGCATAAGAAAACACAACATTGCAATAAATTCATTTTCTTCTCCTAAATATGAAATGAGAAAAATCTAATATATAACATGTAGTAAGTTTTGGCAGGGAAAATGGCGGCCTATAATTTGTCGATATTTCCACCCATATGCATTTGATTCGATTTCTTGTTGGTACTCGGCCATTCCATATATGTCACCTAGTAATAGTTAGTCGAAGATCGGAGTAAACACTTGATATGCATGTAGGTTGTATAACTTTATTTCTTACTAGGTTGTAAGTATTTACTTCTTTCTCGAGTTTAATCAATATGTTTCCATACTTTATTGACATGGTTGAAAATAAATGTAATTTCTCAGAGATTTATTTTAAAAAAATGTTTATTGTCATTACAGTGTTTTATTTTTTTTTATCTTCATATACATCGAATCTATGACAAATACACGAATTTGTGAGTGATGCATGTTTTTATCAAGTTTTCGAAATAAAAAATTCTTATTTTAATACATCAAATATTACCACTGACGACGAAAGAATCTGAATTCTTACATTTCGAATTGGTAATACTTTTATGATAAAATCCTGGCCAGTAAACGAGAAAGCAATGAAAATATAAAGCTGAGCAAGCTAATTTAAACAAAAATATGAAATTTCTTTTTGTTCAATAGTTATGTTTGTCAAATGCGTTGTTTTAAATTAGTTATCTCCTGGCAATTTTTACATTAAATATATCAGTGTTTCATTCAAATTATTGATACTGTTTGACCTCAAAAGTCAATGAAGGGATTTGTCCTCTTGTTGCAGAGGTGCCATTTTTACTATTATCATTTTGTAAGAAAAGAACTTCAAGTGGTCCAGATACGACTTTTTCTTGACCATTTTCTCCACAGAATGTATCAACTCCTGTTAGTAAGGTACATATAGTGTACTCTGTTCCTGGTCTAATATCCACTGGTTTATCAAACAATACTTTTTCAGAAAACTTAGACTTTTCGTACATATAATCTTTAAATTGTCCTTAGATGTCATTTCAGATGTGCTATTTTGCAAACTAACTTTTCCTTGTAAACTTCCTGTTGAATTAGGAGCAAATAAACTTAAACCTAAAAGCTTACACGGAATCGAAACTTGAAAATTCAAAACGTCAGGCTTTCCACTATATCACAAACGCTTACAACGATTCGGTACAAATCTTTGTAGATCAACAATTTCTACTTTAGCCAGTCGTTTACGTGATTTTGTCTGGAAGGGGAGACATATATTACTATTTACTATTCCTGCTATAGTTTGAAATACGTACACTTTTTCTTCTGGCGTCAATATATTTTCAATGGCCACATTCTCAGCAAATGTTTTGAAAGACATTGTAGCAAACCTCACTAGATATATGAGTTCCCCTAACTCACGCCTCAGCTCTTCCCATGAATGTTCCTGTTGATCAGTTTTACTATTACGCTGTGCAATTGCCCAGCTCTTGCATGCATCATACACATTTAATTCGTTAGCACAAAGTTCATCTGATTCAATAATTTTCTTTAAAACTTCTTTGGAAATAGTCGAAAAACCGTCTGATTTTAAGGCCGTTTCAGCGTTCTGCATCACAAACTTTAAACATCGGTTTTCCAAATCATCTTCGTGAAATTCAATAGCATGTTGCAATATTGTAAAGACATTTTCGCAAGACATATTTGTGTTGAGGAACTTTCGACAGGCTCCTTTAAGACGCTCCAGTTCATACTTCTTTGAACAGTATAGTAGAGCCATAACATTATTCTCGTCAACGCAGCATTCTTCCGTATAAATGAACCTTTATAATAAAAGATTGATAAAGTGAATAAGTAGCATAGAAATTTCGTTAGATTGGCATAATATTGCAATATTTGTATGAATCTGTGGCTTATCTAACAGTCAACAAATGATATTTATTGCAATTTCATTATATTACAATGCAGAATTGTAAGCCATTGGTATGTTAGATGCAGATGTCTCTACTTCAAGCAGGATTTTTTTTCTGTCAAAACTGTTTACAAGCTGCTGTAATAATTTTATAAAAGTAAAGCAATTAAAATACCTTAACAAATCGAGGAATATAGCAGGTTCAATATCAGGAACAGGTATGTGATTGGTCTCTGGAAGTGATCCACAAAACATTGTAAAGAAGACTGGACTTCTACTTGCTAAAATAAATCGGTGTGCCATTATTTTTTCTTCCTTTTCGCTCCCCACTAGAAAAGTGATGTCGCAAAGTCTTTCATCCTGCAACATTTGCCAATTGGTTTCTTCAAATGATCTCATAGATTGCCACGAAGTTCCTTTTGAGCACGTCATGCTTGACTTATTCTACAAAAAGATAAGCAATATCTACAAAATTGAAAACTAAAAAATGCGGGCAAAAAGTGGTAAAGAAACATGCAGAGACTATAGACATCATGACAATTCAAAACAATAGTGAGGCAAAGAAGCATGTCGGGATTCCCCTGTATGCATTGAACTTTTCAGTTTTGGTACAGTACTCTGAACCCACAAGCATTTTTGAATTGATAGATATCAATAGATAAAAGATGAGACACTTAAGTATTGAGATCAGTGGATAAGACATCTTTAGAAATGACTTATCTGTACAAAAAGTTTAACTATGTACAATGTAGTAAATAATACAATCATAAAATTAAAGATCTGTATTTTTGTAATACACTAAAATTATATAATTTCTGAAGTGACAAAGAGCTCTTAGCAGTCAAATGAGGTTTATAAGGTTGGTTTCTCCTGATTTTATGTGCATTTTTGTTTATATTGATTTGATGGGCTTCTATATACATTGTTTTCTTTCAAGTTCGATTGCCATACTCTGTAAGTTCGGAAAGATTGTACAATTGGTGAGCGTTAGTTGAAATTTAAAACAAGTGCCTTATTCTGACCGATAAATACCATTAATATAAAGAGTTCAACTGAAGTTGATAACACAAATCATGGAAAGGAAATATAACACATGTTTGTATTTGAATTGTACCAGTGATCTTGCAAACACCAGGGAGCTCACTTCAATTGTGTAAAAATAGTCATTTCCTCGTTCCACTAATATGTTTTATACATTTATGTGTAATCTGTATATCAAATACTTACACATGACAAAGTGTCCAAGAGAGAACAAAAGTTGTCGCCGCGAGGTCGACTTATCAAATATTGAATGCAATTACGAAAGACAAATTATGGGGAAAATATAATATAATTATATCTGCATCAATATCAAGAAATAACAAATGTTATATTCTTTTAACCACATAAAAAACACCCAAAAACTGTCTGGCAACCCTCTGAAATCTAAATCCCTTCGGTAGCAAAGATGAAAAGAGTAAAAACTCTTTCAAACAAAATTCTTAGTTCAAAAAGGTGAAAACTCTTGAAATTAAGACGCTAAGCTATGAACCTTGTCATATTTGTGATGTGAGGGGTGTCAAGAAACAAGTATCTGAAGTCTTAATAAACATTATCAGTAACAAAGAAGATAAAAGTAGGTTATGTAGGGCTTAAGTTCTCAATATTTTTGTTAATAATTACACCTGACTCAATGTCAAAGTAGTGATCAAATTATTTTGCAATGTCATTACCCCCTTTAATCCTCGGCAGCTGCGCGGAGGCTGAAGCCCTTTCTGTGTTCTGTAGTCTATATTTAATGAGGGTCCTCTACCATTTTGTAAATGCACAAAAAGAACTATTTTTTCACTATCGAGTACTGACCTCGGACATACCAACAGCATACCTTTAAAATTTTAATTTTGAAGCACAAAATGTTGTCCGAGCATTTTCCAAAACCTATTACATGTATTAGTTACAGAATGATTTCTGAGTCGATAGAAGGTAACTGTGACGTAGCCCTGCCTGATAAGGGCAGCTTTTGCCAAGCATAAGACCCGTCTTTCAAGTCATCACTAAGAACTTTGCACTCTGGCATCCTGTTACAATTGTAACGTTTTGAAGGCACACAAACCCTGTTTGTGAAAAAGCTAGCTCACCACCGAGAGTGGTTTGTGTCCTTATATATGGGAAATATCCCCTTATGTTAATTTAACAACTTTAGTTTTTGCATATTATCATGCTCATTATGACGTTCTCCCAACGTCGTTAAATTACTTTCCCCTCCGAGAAGTCTCGTCCCGAGACTTGGCCTGGGAAATCTTTGGGTACGGCAACTCCAGTCCGGCAGTTGTCTACACCCCCCACACTGGCCACCAAATGTAACGTTTTGAAGGCAAACAAACCCTGTCGGTGAAAAGCTAGCGCACCACCGAGAGTGGTTTAATTGTTTCCTTATATACGAGAAATATCCCCTTATGTTAATTTAAGTTTTTGCATATTATCATGCCTATTATGACGTTCTCCCAACGTCGTTACACAATATACATAAGTATTTAGTTACGTTTATCACGCCCGGCAAACTGTCGCTCCACTTCAAAATTGTGGTGTACGGTAAAACGAGCGAACGGCATTTCCGAGATAGAGCGGAAGGCCGATTTAAACGCCTAATTGTAAGTATTTTTTATGTTTTTGTCTGTTATTCATTTAAGTTGTATTTTTTTCGAAAAAGGAAAATGGGTTCCGTGTAGGATTGATTTAGGCTTCCAATTATCTAAGCTGTTACAAAAAAAATTGTATTAAGCCCGGGAGAACTTTTCTCCCTGACGAAGCGAACGATGATTTGTAGAATATTGAATTTCCCACCATAGAATGCCATACCTTTCGGATTTCTTGAAAAAGTGTATTAGTAAATTATCAAACCCGTAATAAAACTTGTCCTTCGTGCAAAATAGATTACTCCTGAAGGATTTCTTAAATTTGTAAACCGATATTTTTCGAAAGTAGTGGAGCGAAAGGGCAAGAGATGGAGCAAAAGGTTCGATGTTGAGCGCAAGGCGATATTAATTTGACGTATTAGGAGGAGCGTAGTCTATGATTTTTTACATATAAAAGCTATAGAAGTTAAAATAGACGTAATCAAGTGTTCAGACCGATATACATGTATATACCTTTTGAAGACAACTGATAAAGTGTGATATCATTTCAACGACTCTAGCGTAATAAATGTAATCGCGAAGGTGTCACCTAGAATAGAATTTATTCAAATTTTGCACGATCTTAGATTAATTATAATTGTTGTTATTATTATTAGCGAGCTCGACGAGCTGGCCCGAAGGGCCTGCTCGCAAAGCTAGCTTTACGGTAACGCGAGTACCTGCTAAGTGATGGTTTTGAAAACTTTCGTTCGAAGTACCGAATTTGACACATCGCAACCTTTCGAATTTAAAGATAACGATAAAAACTGAGGAATTCTGACTGAAAACGGATGTGTAAACTGGTAACCCGCGCACGTCTAAGGGAACCATAATTGGACAGGAAAACCAAATAACGGAAGCTGTCGATAAAATAACGAACGGAAAAATTTAAAATGAAAATTGAAGGCGCCATTTTGTTTGAAAAATCTGATAAATTAAAACAATTTTTTTGTCGAATTTTGTTGTGAAAACTATCTAGAATGAAAAAAAATGGTCTAACTAAGAAATGAATCCGAACACCAATATATTTTATTCAGTCGTTAACTCTGTACAGACGTTTTAAAGTATTGTTTACGTGACGTCACAATGTAGCGCCAAACAGCACGTGCAAAACAAACAAATCAAGTGCGCTATTTTAATGTCGCAAACGTTTTAAGTTTTACATTTATTTCACTTTTAATAATCTTTATTTCGCTTGAAAAATTATAGAGTGAAATAAAATAAACAAAGTTTTATCAACGTTTTCAAAACTCATTCATTTAACGACAGGGGCGGATCCATATTTAACACAGTACGTGTAACGTCACACGCACTCGTCAATGCATTTGAAATAAAATGCGCGATTATTTAATACTATTTCACGTTAAAAGTACATCGAGCTCGCTTTGAGGCTTTGCCTTTTTCATATTAGCGAACTCGAAGAGCTGACCCGAAGGGCCTGTTCGCAAAGCGAGCTTTACGGTAACACGAGTACCTGCTAGATAGTGATGGTTTTGAAAACTTTCGTCCGAGGTACGAAATTGACACATCGCAACTTTTTGAATAACAAGATAACGATAAAAGCCAAGGTATTCTGATTGAAAACGGAAGCTTAGACTGGTGCCCTTCGCACTTATATAGGAATCATAATAGGACAGGGAACCAGAAAAAACGACAGTAGTGTATGAACTACAGAATAAAAATTTTAAAGCGGAAAATGTAAAATAAAAATGAACGATTATTTTATACTATTTCACGGTAAAAGTAAATCGAGCTCGCTTTGAGGCTTTGCCTTTTACATATTATTAGAGCAACTTTGGGTAATGTCAACATTGGTGTAAATTCGACACCTTCTTCCTATTATATAATAACAATAAAGCACTATTTTCTACTTGATTTAAATCAATTTTACTATGTCAGAACTATATGTCACGTCATCACTTGCTCTTGGTCTTTTAGGCACTCTTCGTTTTCTAGAAATTTCCGGTCTATAGATGTCATTGCTCGTAATCTTATCCGAAAAAACGGCATTTACATAATCTTATAAGAAGGGTCGATAACTCAGGCACATAACTTTATCACCATTTCGTATTTTTGTATTGGTTTCGATAAAATTAAACCTAAATATGAATGTTATGAACATTTAACCTTGAGTTTATTCTCAATTATAAGGCGCACAGGGGTGTCGAAATTGAACGATACTTATCTTCTCTGTCGGCCAATTTCGACACAAAGTCATAGAAATATTAAAACTTTATATTAACAATAGTTACTAGCTCTACATGCATTAATAAATAATTCAAATACATGTATGTTTATTTAAAAAAACAAAAACAAAACACACACACACACATTATGTTATATTAATTTAAAGTTGCCAAACTGCAGAATGCTATTCATAATTTCCAACGCTGTATTGACATTACAAAATTGACTTCATCAATTTGGACTAATAATAGTTTATAATTAACATACATATAAAATAGATAAGATGGGGAAATAAAAGACAATTGGAAAACTTCCGAGAAATAAAAACAACGGCTTACCTCAATGGTAGTCAGAGCGCTTCTCGTCTTTTATGACGTCAAACCTTCACGTCCAAGTGTTCGTTCAAGTTTGACGTCATAAAGTGACGTCATAAACGTGTCCATAAACAGAACCGTTGTTACGTAATAGTTATACATTTTGTAGTTATAATATATGAAACGAGTTAGTTACGAGGGTATAACACTGGCTCGGGCGACATCTCGGGATGTTTCTGCTAAAAAAATGTCGAGGCCGTTATCATTATTATTATTATTGTTATTGTTATTGTTACTATTATTATTTGCTCCTGGGAATGTTCGTTACCGCTGCCCCAATGGAGCCTCAGTGAAAAATCTACACAGATATATACAATGTTCGAAAAAAAACTAAACCGATATATAGCAGTTGAGTTTTTTTTTCCTATGTGAATCAATGAAAAAACTGTACTGCTATATATCAATACAGTTTTCAAAAGCTCATTGAAAGTGTAGATCTATAATGTATAATGGGTTAGTAAGAACAAAGGAAAAGTTCCAACCCATGCGATAATAGCAATTAACACACAAAACGGGATAAATTTACGTTGGCGAAAGTGCCAAATACTTACGTGTTTAGCAGCGTAATCAAATTGCCTAACTTGAAACAGGAAAAGTGATCGTATAGTGTTTGAGGAGTGATCGTATAGTGTTTCAAAAGTGATTGAATAGTGTTTCAAAAGTGATTGTATAGTGTTTCAAAAGTGATTGTATAGTGTTTCAAAAGTGATTGTATAGTGTTTCAAAAGTGCTTGTATAGTATTAGTAGTACCATAATGGAAATAAATATATCAAAAATAAATAGAAGTATAGTACATGTAGTACTTATATAAAGTAAATTGGTATCTATTACATATAAATTCTTATCAAGTGGTCGATCAGTTTTAAGATTTTTTTTGTTTTTACGATTTTACGTCGCATCAACATAAGTAGTAAAAGAGGTCATTCATGACGACTTACTTGTAAGCTTTACTCGTGGAGGAAGAATCGGTGCCTCCCCCGTGCATTTATTTCAAGCACGAGGCAGCCACCGACGTTCGTAAGATGACTTGATAGCTTCCTCGCAATTTCAATATATTAAAAAAAGGGCATATTATTATACATATTGTTTATATTACAAAACTTGGTAGAGTGAAGTATAAGCTTAAGGTATATGTCTGCAAAATATTAAAAAACCTGGAAGTCATAAGCACTGAGAAGCACTGTCAACGCATTGTAGGTAGTGGTGGCGCGGCCGGAGTGGTTACACGCGTTGGACTAGTAATCTAAATAAGTAATCTAAGGATTGCCTGACCGGGTGGGTTTCAAACCCCCGTTGGGGGCAAGCCGTTTATTTCAGTCAGCAAAGAAAGTTTACACCTATTGGCTAGTTACTGACTGGTTCTAGGAATGGATTCGATTGTTTCAATAAAAGCTTATAGCTTCCAACACAATACCACCGAAGTTTAATAAATTGGTATAAACTAAAAACATTGTAAGCCTAAATTTTAACGGCAGACACCGCGCTGTCTTGTCCTGTAGTTTTATTATTTTTATATTATTCATATATTAAAATTTAAATGGCATTCCTTTTTAGTATATTTTTAGTACATTTTATTATTATTGTTTAGTATAAATCTTAACTAAGTATCAGCTTATTACACTTCTATATCTCAACTACAGGTGTTGTCTCAAAAATACACCTTTGAAGATAAGAAAATACACCTATATTTCTTGGTCAAGCAGATAAAAAGCATACACTCTTCTCCCCTTATAATAAATAAAACGAACATGTATTTGTAAATAGTTTAACACTTTATTTTATGCGGGACAAGAACACCGAAACAATCAGTATATAAAAAATCGTTAATGAATTATGATGTTATACTCTTTCTAATTCCAATGAACCAGTTATGATTGGAAAGTATGATCAGTCATTTATAAATCTTGTTCAGAAAAAGTATGTTACTAATGAAAGAATAGCCCCAACCATTACCATATTGATCTGCTCTAAATCGTTTCAGTTCAACAACTTCAGTTTTAAATTGTCTTCTTGGTATTGATGGAAACGGAAAAGATGTTTTCTTGCTAGCTATTCCTGCTATAGTTTGAAATACGAACACCTTTTCTTCTGCCGTCAATATATCTTCAATGGCCACATTTTCAGCAAATGTTTGTAACGACATTGTAGCAAACCTGACTGAATATATGAGGTCCCCTAACTCACGCCTTTGTTCTAGCTCTGAGCCCTCATGTTTATCACTTTTACCATTACACTGTGCAATTGCCCATTTCTTGCATGCATTGTATACACACAATTCATCTGCATTAAGGTTATCTAATTCAATAATTTTCTTAAAGACTTCTTTGGAAATAGTTGACAAACCATCTGATTTTAACACATTTTCAGTGTTCACCATCACAAACTTCAGACATCGGTTTTCTAATTCATCTTCGTCGAATTAATTCGCATGTTGTAAAATTGTGCAAACGTTGTCTGAAGAAATATTTGTTTTCAGGAACTTTTGACATGCTTCTTTGAGACGCTCCAATCCTTACTTCTTTGAACATTATATTAGAGCCATTACATTATTCTCGTTAACGCTGCAGCCTTCCGTGTAAATAAACCTTCAAAGGGTCATTATAATTTATAAATTCAACAACATTGTAGTATTTTGATATCGATAAAATATTGTTATATTTATATGCGCTCTTGACTTCTCTGATAATCAACATGGAATATTCGCTATGCATTTTTATAAACATACCATGCAAAATCTTAGTGAATATTATTTTGTATGCAGTCTAAGCCTAAATCTTCAATCAAAAGTGACATTTTTGTATGTCAAACATGTTTGAAACGGAACGTTAATACTATTTTTCACACAAATATATTCAAACATTTCCTAGTATATTCAACCAAAAGTTCGCAAAGTTAATTCTTATGACGACTGTAAAAGTACTTCTATAAAAATATTCCTAAATACCTTAACAAATCGCGGAATATAGCAGGTTCAATATCAGGAACATCAACTGTTTTATTGGTCTCTGGAAGTGATCCACAAAACATTGTAAAAAAGACTTGGCTCCTACTTGCTAATATAAATCGCTGCGCCAATATGTTTTCTTCCTTCCCGCTTCCTACAGAAAAAGTGACGTCACAAAGTCTTTCATCTTGCAACATTTGCCAGTTAGTCTCCTCAAACAATCTGTTGGATTGCCATGCAGGTTCTTTTGAGCTTTCCATGTTTGTTGAGTTTTGAATCAGCAAAAATTTTGTTATATCTACATGAAAAATATGAACACAATCGATCATGCAAAGATAGCGTTAATCGTGAAAACTAAAAAACGAACAAACAAACAAAAATGAAAAAAAACTTAGTGCATCAAATCAGTTCTTCACGAATGCTTTGTTTTCTTAACGATTGTTCTTTGTAGCCCAGAGGATTTATATTTATTGATAGGTGAGACCCTTGAAAATTATATTGAAACCAATTTTAACCTCCATCCCCACAATAATTTAATAAAGTGCGCAATTAAGTGCATATACTGAGTGAAAGTCAAAATAAGTTTACATTTTGCCAAATTTCTTTCAATTTATAATTCATTTCGCATAAACGATAAATAACTAACAAGGCCCAAGTGAGTTTATATAAATATACATCAGAATAAATTTGTAACGTTCAAATTTATAAAAAGAGTGGAACAGTCTTTTTATATTTTAAGCAGATAAATAATTTATCCTTAACATTGTTCAATATCAACTATTATAACAGCCAGTCTTTTAAAATATAAAGTCAATTCAGTTCAATTGGACAATGACGAACTGTCCATAATGACACTTCAAAGATGTCATTACAAGATTACCATTTGTTTAAAGAACTATCAATTCCTTGCACTTATACACAGCATCAAATTTAGGAGACAAGTTACACATCACGGATTTCCATAGGTACACGAATGACAAAATGAAGCAAATAAATCGTAGCAGAACTCTTTGTATACTCTGAACGATCTGGGGGTTGTCTGTTTGTTTTGTTGGGTTTTTTTGTCTGTTTTTTTTTTTCAAAGCTTCAAAACACACAAGAATACCATCAATTACTTACGTGTAATTTGTACCGTTGTGCTGTGTTTGTACTAAACGCATAATTATAAAAACACTTAAATGATATAAAAAAATATAAATATTTTACGTTTAAATGAATATTCCGCTTATATATTATAAGCATAGGTTTTTAGGACTGATCAGGGGTAGTAACTGCTGTGGGGAGTTGCATACAAAGCTGTACCTAAATTGTATAAAGGGCGATCATTTATTTTAAGTTTTGCATTTAAAGACATGTATCTTTGTGTAGCCCTGTTTCAAATGTCTGTTTCTATATGGTGCTGACGTCATAATGTGAAACGGTACGCTTAAAGTTAAAACACGTGCGATATCAATATATGAATACTATTAAAACGCTTAAACACCAAATATTGAGTAATCTTAAACTTAATTAGAGCAAGTAACCTTCAACTTAGTATGACACAGTTTAAATACCTTAATATAAAGGAAAAGCTTTATATTCACTTACTTGTGTAATAAAGACAGTAAATATTTAATCAAACTGTTTCCATCCTCTAGTTAAAATTCCCCTCTTTGTTTAAATCTTATAAAAATCTTTTTTTTTTTTTTTGAAAAACATTGAACTTCCGGGTAGTTTTGATAAAGTTGCAGTAGTACACTGCATGTTGATAAAAAAGAAAACATACCGATATGCATAGTCAGCACTAATCTCAACAAATAATGTCTTGTGTGGCCTGAAAAGCAAATTATTGAGTCATCTTTTTGTGTCGCCCTCTACAGGATAGTGGCGACATATAGGGATCACTTCTCCGTCGTTTAACCATACGTCTGTCTGTCTGTCTGTCTGTCTGTTTGTCCGTGATCCGTCTGTCACAAAACTTGTCCGGACTTCTCCTAAAAATTTCATCTTAATTTACAGGCATGATTTGTACCAAATCTAGTTGTTCATATCGCCGCCATTTTCGGCATATTGTGAAGAATTGAGTTCATATGAGTGCATGCTGTGTTATACGTGCTAAACGATGCACAGCAGATTATGTATAAAGTCCTACGAAAAAAAGTGAGTCGAAACTGATTGATACTGTGACAATGTGTAAACATAGCCCTACTGAATTGAAACATTAAAGAAATGTCTCACTTTGTCTATAGATATATGTGAACAACTAAAAAGAGTTACATATTTTGCATACACATAAGACACAAATTGTGTGGGGTTCCTTTCTAATTCAATTAATATGTATTTGTTATAACTCAAAGGTTCTCAAAGTATTTGCATGTGTTTAATTGGTCATAACGAAGGTAATGAACTTTGAATTAATTAAATCATAGCGGTTGTACAATTACAGTCTACAATACAGGGCGGCTGTGTTGCTATAAAGTAAACGGAAAAAGGGATCGAGTAAGCGTACACTTTGCATATTTAGCCCCGCCTATAAATTAAGCACGAATTTCTTATAAAGCGTTATCATCATGATTAAAATAGACTATAAATCTGTGGAAATGATCAGTGTTACTGTATGTTAGTGCATATGCTTAATCCCCCTAATAAATATACACGAATGTCTTATAAAAATGGAAAAAGGCTTTAAAGTGTTAAGTCGTGCAATAATGGTGCTTTCACTCATATGCCAAATGATTTAATCAGCATATGAACCTATGTGAGGATATCAAGTTAGATGACTAAAGGATCATCTGAATGTACATACAATGTATACTTATGTTCATATGAAAAATATATTAGAAATCACATTATAAGAGGACCAAGTTTATACGGATCAGGGGATCATCTAGATGTGCACATACTATAATATTCATTGAACAGAAATAAAGGGATACCGATCACGTTAGATGACCAGGGTATCATCTACATGTAAATTTATTCTTTCTTATTACGGAACAGATATATGGGTATCATGTAAGCTGACCAGGGGATACGATCTATATGTACACATACTTTAGTATTCATTGAACAGATATAAGGAGATCACGTAATATGACAAGTGGGTCATCTAGATTTACATAAACTATAGTTTTCATTTGGAACAGATATCAGGTGATCACGTAAGTTGACCAGGGAATCATCTTAATGTACATATACCGTACTTTTCATTGAACAGATATAAGGGGATCACGTAAGATGACCAGTGGGCCATCCTGATGCTACATATACTATATTTTGCATTGAACAGATATAAGTGGATCATGTTAGATGACCATGGGGTTCATCTAATTTTACAGATATACTATAGTTTTTATTGAACAGAAATTAGGGGATCACGTAGATGACCAGGGGATCGTCTAAGATGTTGCATATAGTATAAGATTCATTTGAACAGATATCAGGGGATCACGTAGATGACCAGGGGAATTATCTACATGTATCTACTCTTTCTAATTATGGAAAGGATATATGGAGATCACGGATAAGATGACAAGGGGATCAACTATATTTAAGATTTACTATAGTATCAAATTGAACAGAAAATAAAGGGATCACGAAAATGAGCAGGGGATCATCTACATGTACATTATTCTTTCTTATTATGGATAACAGATATATGGTCTATCATGTAAGCTGTCAAGGGGATCATCTAAAGATGTACATGAACTCTTTCTTATTATGGAAGGGATATTAAAGGGATAACGTAAGATGACCAGGGGATCATCTTAATTTTACATAATGTCTATATTTCATTGAATAGAAAATAAGGGGATCTTGTAAGATTGACGATAGGGAAATCATCTAGATGTTGCATATACTGTTAAGTTCAATTGAACAGATTATAAGGGTGATCACATAAGATGACCAGGGGATTCATTCTACATGTACATATCTCTTTCTAATTATGCGAACGGATATACAGAAATCATCGAAAGATGACAACGCGGTTAAACTATATCAAAATTTACTATAGTATCCATTGAACAGAATTAAAGGGATCACGTTAGATGACCAGGGGTCATTTAGATGTACTTATATGACTTTCATATTTTGGAGCAGATAAATGGGGGGATGATTTTAGCTGGACCAGGGGATCATCAGATTTACATATACTATAGTATGTCATTGAATAGATCTTAAGGAGAATCACGTTAAGATGACAAAGCTGATCGTCTATTATTACATTATACTATAGCATTCATTGAACAGAAATAAAGGTGATCAACGTGGTAATGAGCAGGGGATCATCTACATGTACATTTTCTTTCTTATTATGGAACCAGATATATGGGTATTATGTTAAGCCAGACCAGAGGGATCATTCAGATTTACATATACTATAGTATTCATTGAACAGATCAAGGAGATCAGTAAGATACAAAGGGATCGTCTATATGTACATATACTATAGTATTCATTGGGATCACGTAAGATGACCAACGGGGATCATCTAGATGTACATAATACGAGGGGTTGTTCAAAAATAGTAATAGGAATGAGCAGTCTTGCATATTCATATTCCATCCCAATCCTAAAATACTTTCATTATGTATCAGTGATCGGTAAAATGTTTTTCTACAATGTATGCATAAGTTTATTTCATATTATTGTGATGAAAGGGCGCGTTTCCCTGTGATACTGAATAACCATGGTAACACGCACCGGCGCGCACAATTAAAAATAGTTTATTAAAGCTATGTTGTACTTCTAATCAATTCATAATTATACTCCGGTTTGTTCCATAATATTCCACCAACACATTTCCTTCATATTGAAATGACATTATATCTAAATTTGACGTCATTCAGGCATGAAATGGCATAATTATTTAGTTTTGAACAGCTGTGCGGTAAATGTAGAAAATATGGCACTCAGTAAACAAACGAAACTTAAATTAAATTACTGTTTGATCGTTAAATTGTGCCAACGAATTGGCAAATATTCTTACAGATACATACAAAATGATAAAATTAAGTAAGGAAAATTATTCTGCCATCAGGACACTCGTTTTCAGCTGGTACAATCAATTTAAAAACGGCGAATACAAAATCTCTAATAGGAAATTGTGAGAATGAAAGCGGAAAATTGACGGGACGTTAGTGACGTTAATTGCAAAAACGCTGTAAATGGATCGACGGTAAACGGTACGCGGACTGTTCCGCGCACTCTTTTTGTCTGCTTCGCGATCTACTTAAGTTTTCACCAAAGAATTGTATATAAAACCATTCTATCAAACACT